CAACTTCAAAGAAGTAATGAACATGTATCTGTTTCTATTATTATTTAATTTAATTAAATTAATTAATTTATTTGTCTTTTTTGAGACAGGGTCTCCCTGTAGCCCCAGCTGTCCTGGAACTCACTATGTAGACCAGGCTGGCCTTGAACTCACAGATATCCGCCTGCCTCCACCTCCCGAGTGCTGGGATTAAAGGCGTGCGCCACCATGCCCGGCAATTTTCCCTTCTTTTTAAACACCTCCTTTAAACACTCCTAAAGTTAGGATAGCTCCCAGAGTTGCTACTGTGTTTTTGCCTAAGAATACTCAAAAACCATATACTGTATTAGAATGTGGGTCACAGCATAAATCTATGATGGCTTCAGAGCACTGGGTATAGAGAGTCCCACTCAGCATCCAAACACACGTGGCCCTTCTTTGGCCTGCCTCTCTTGGTTTACTCTGTGATTGATTTCAAGTCCTCTACAGTTCTACTTCCAGACATACCTACCTTGGAGATTCAGGAGCCAGGATTCCTGAGAATCTCTTTTCTATGAAACTATCGTTAAAACATGGTTTTTTCTTTATGTTCCAGTACAGGGGATTCCAAAGCATGGCCCAGTACCTGTTTTTGTAAATAGTTTCATTTGAACACAGCCATGCTTCTTTGCTTATGTATGGCTTATGAATGCTTTCAGGGAGAGGCCACATAGTCTACAAAGTTTACAATTTTTCATATCTGCTCCTTTACACAAAAAGTTTGCTGACCCATATTCTAGGATATTTTAAAGCTTTTTTTTCCTCTATCAGAAAATTTGGAAGACCTGAATCACACAATCCATATCTAGTATCTTTGTTCAGGTTACAGAGTCTGGTTTTTTGCTTTAAAAAAACAAAACAAAACAAAACAAACAAACAAAACCAGAAAAGCAGCCAAACAAACCAAAAGCACCTTGGCTCTGACAAGAGCAGCAGTGTGCTCATAAATGTTCAGAGACTTTCTCCCCAGGCAGAAAGAGCCTGGATTTGGAGCACTGGATGATTTCCATGGTAAATAGTATCACTATGACTTATTTCAAGCTAAAAAAAAAAAAAAGTGATACTGCTGAACATGGAGTTGGGAAGAGATGTGCACACATGCTAACAAAAATCACCTGCAGTTAACCACAGGTTGTCAGGACACCTACTATCAATGGCCCAATCTCTTACTGTAAAGCCAGAGACACTAAGGTTCTGAGAAACCAAGTCCTCTACAAGGCCAGTTTAAGGACTGACCTCAGGTTGGAGGGAATTTTCTTACACAGATTCTAGCTGCCTCACAGAAATTTCTTCTTCCCTATAAGTCAGAATGAAGGAAATGGGCAAAGGATGGTCTTCACCAAGCACATGGCAATTAGTGCTGCCTTTAATCATGATCTTCACCTTATAGGACTCTGGTTTCCCTTAGCACATGCTTTTAGGAAAACTTTACTGTTGGTTAGATGCCACTGCTCTTCACACAGGACTATATTTCATGTGCACACTCTGACAGTGAATTATCCCAATTGACAAGTAGTTACCTATGTTCCTGACTGTAAACTCCAGACAGAGCCTGCATCTTTGACACTAATTTCCCAGCATCTAGTACAGAGCTGAAAACAAGAAAGAGGTGGTCCACAAATATCTACTTAAGGGATGAAAGAGGGATGCTCCATTATCAAAATGGAGTCTTAGAAATGAAGAGAGTTCAGATCCTGACACCTCCCACACACAGTGCAGTACATTCTGACCAGATCTCGACCTCTCCAGCTTGTGCACAGTGCAGTAGATCCTGACCCCCTCTCCCACCTGTGCCGTTGCAGTAGCACCACCTTCAGTGTCTAAGCTGCTCCATCAAGCCATGAGAGGCACTTAGGTAGAGGGCTGAGAAATGTGTTTGATGTGCATAACCTACATTTATATAATTTATTTCAAACTTGTGTAGACAGAGCATGAAGCCAAGGAAAGAATCTAGTGAGGGATCCCATCTACCACACACCAAAACGCTAGACGACTGCTTTCTAGCAGGGGCTGAGGAAGGGTCACTAAGTGGAGTCTCTGAAAGTGAAAGGTCAAAGACTGGGAAGCATATTCCAGTAAACCCAAGGCTAGCAACTACAAACAAAAATGCACATGGGGAAAGGAGGCAAAAAAGCATGCCATTCTGGTATTCTGGAAACCTCACAACTATTTGCTAATCTTACACCAACCCCTACATATTTCACATGGTCTCTGCAAAAGCACTTCTCTGAAGTCATAGGTCCTGTTTATGGATCAATGCTGCAATCCTGATGCTTCTGCGGGTCAGCTCAGCAGGCACAGAAACAACCAAAGCCACATGTGAATCTTGCTGAGTTTGCAGAGGCCGGAGAGTTATCATCAAGTGTGGGGACCTAGTACTTGGTTTCCAAAGTGAGGTCAAGAATGGTCCTATCAGAGGTTATAATACAGTCCACGGAACTGAGTGGACTGTGTTCCCACTTAGCGAAAGGATCACAAATAAGGCAGCAGGCCGAGTGAACTATGCCTCCCAAGCACTCCCTGCCCCAGTGGTTCTGAAGCGTGGTGCAGGGAACGTCCAGACATCTATCTGCAAGGTCAAAACCACTTCCACAGAAGCAAGAAGGTGTTGTGTGCCTTTTCACCCTCACACTTTCAGGAGTTCACTGTGGAAGTCTCCAGAAGCTATGTGACAGACATGTACAAACTGAATGCAGAAACATGTATAAGAATCCACCCGTGCTCTACTAAGCAGATTTGCAGAAATGTAAAACAATGCTACTCATGATTTTGATTGAGAAAATAGTTTTTTTTTTTTCCATGTTACGTTAAACAGAACTGGTCTATTAATTTAAAATTACTAAATACACTAAACGTCTCAAGTGTTGTTTATACACGACAAAAGTCAGTAAGTATTACCCATAAGGTTCCTTAAAGGCAAAGAGGTTCTGAGTCCAAAAGTTTGGCAACTTATGCCCAGAGGCTGTGGCTGAGGACCGTCAAGTGCGCTGCCCGGAGATGTGCCATTCTGGCGTGCTGACCCGGCCTGCGCGGACAGCCGGGTCTCGCCGGTCTGAACCGATCACTATGGGGTCCCCGCCCAAGCCTTGCACTGAGGGGTCTCCGCCCTTCGCCCCTCGTGGTCAATCCCGGGTCTGCCAGCAACATTTGCTGACTTCTCCATCCCGCGGGCCCGGCCTGGCGGACTGGCTGGCGCGGCCCGCACAGCCTTGGCCGCGGCTCCCGGGTGTCTCGCAGCCACGAAGGCCGGGACGCGCGGAGAGCCTCGCACGCAGGCTGGGGAGCGGCTGTAGCGGTCACCCCAGGAGAGAGCCCCTCGGAAAAGGCCTGCTCGGACGGCGGGACCAGGCGCCCCAGCACAGCCCGCGTGGTACTCACCGCCGCCGCACCGTGAGGCTCTGCCAGCAGGGAGCCAAGCGGTCTCGGAGGTCTCCGGCCGCCGCCTCAGGGCTCCTCCCCCAAGGCCCTGGGCCGGACACCACCGCGGAGCAGGGCGTAACCCGCCCGCACCCGCCCTCTGCTGGGCCAGAACCAGCCCCAGAGATCGAGGGGCGGAGCCTGGGGCTCGCCCCGCCCATCCCCGAGAGCCAGAAGGAGGGACTGCGGTCGAGGGGCGGGGTCTGGCCCCGCCCCGCCCATCCCTGGGGGCCAGAGGGGCGGGGCCTAGGACCGCCCCACTTCCAGGGCCCAACCAGCTGCTGAGGCCAAGAGGCGGGGACCTACCGGCCCCCTTCAGAGGACCAGACTCCAGGGGCCAAGGCTTAGGGGCGGAGCCTGGGATTCGCACCGCCCCGTGGGCGGGATGGGGGTAGATTTAGGAGCTGCTCCGCCCTACTCTGTCCCTTCCGAGGACTGCAGCTGCCATCGGAGTCTGGGATCCGCCCGCTCCCTCCCGCTCCGCCCATCCGGTGAGGGAAGCTGAACCTAGCGGAGGTCCAGAACTGCTGGTCGTAGGAAGTGCAGTGCCGCCTTCTTGCCGGGTCCCCTCCTGTGTGCCCTGGAGCCTGGGACAAGGGTGACAGGCGCTCACGTGGGGGCAGATGGAATACGTAAGTGCCTGACTGGCGCTGGAGAGTTGAGGAAGAAATGCAGCCGGTTTTCGCCCCATCTTTTAAATGCTTTGCCATAAATACATTTTCTAGATGCCTCAGTAAAGCATGTGTCCCCAGTTCTGTCCCCTCCCCGCTTGTCCCTCACTTCCTATTCCCATACTAATTCCTTTTTTGTTTTGTTTTGTTTTCGTTTCGTTGGTTGGTTGGGCTTTTTTTTTTTTTTTTTTTTTTTTTTTTTTTTTTGGTGTGATGAGCCCAGGCTGGCCTACAACTTGCTAAGTGATGGAAGATGACCTTAAATTTCCTGCATCCACCTTCTGAGTGGTGGGATTACAGATGTGTGCCACCCTGCCCCAGGCTTTGTAAGCAGTCATATTTTTAATTTGCAAAGAAGCATGGGAAGTGACAGCACTCCCTCAGGATAAGAGCCTCAACATTTCTGTGACTTACATAGGAATATAAGATTTTATGTGCAAAACTTGTTTGCAATTTATAGGGATTCTTCACTTTATAATGCATGCTGTTCACCAATCTGAAAAATGAGATTGAGTGGACCTTCTATAGAAGGTTATACCCTCTAAGTCAGTGCGAATTCAAATACGTAATTAGCTCTAGATGAAAAGGAGAGATATGTATGTATTTTGTCAAGTCAATGTAGTTTTCTGCATTGAACTGTAGTTATCTGACTTGAATGAGCAACCTACAGGGTGAGTGACCAATAGCTAATGTGACAAAGAGCTGGATAGGACTTCTGCCCTCGGTGCTGAAGGCCCTGAGTTCTCACAGGCTGGGCTTCCAAATCCAGAAGCCTACAGCTCTAAGTCTTGAGACCTGGATGCTTACGGTTCCAAGCCTTCAAAGCCAGAGGTTTATCACTGCTCCAGGTAATCAAGGCTTACTGCTCTGGATTTAGAGTGCCAATAGCCAGCAGGTAGTTGCAGCTCCCGACCTTTAGGTATCAGGGCCCTTGGCTCCTCAAGCCCTTGGTGGCTCTCTTAAACTCTTGTAGAGATCACTTTGTAGCCCCCACTTTTGCTTTTCTGAGCCTCTCCTCCTCTTCTGCTGTTCCTTTATGGTGGTAGCTCCTTGATGTTTCCACCCTCAGTCCCTCTCTGGAGCTCTTAAACCACCAGGGTTACAGCTCCAAGCTTTGGGTATTAGAACCCTTTAGCTCTCAGAAGTTTCTCAGCTGCTTCTGGTGTTGCCACTTGGAGCCTGGGCTATGGGGGGGGGGGGGCGGTCCTTAGCTCTTGGTGACTCCCTGGAATGCTCCAGCTCCCTCCTCACTGCCAGTGCCACGGCTGCTGCCCCATCACCAAATGTGGAAGTCTCAAAGTTTCATCTGTCTTCTATACAACCTGCCTCGCTTCATAAAGACCATAAGAAGGCTAAGAGAGCATTTGGAAGATGCTGTTACTGGGCCTAATGTTGCGGCACCAAGGGGTAGTACACAGGAGACAAGCCTTCCAGACTAACCAGAAAATAAGGGGAAAACAACCTACTTACATAGCCAGAAGGGTACATGGCATGCCTGTGCATGGATTTCAGTTCTACTGATTGCAGTCCTGCCTAAGCACAGCTCCCAGTTCCACCCGTCACAAGTCCTACATAGACACAGTGGCCAGCTTCACTTGTGAACCAATCACAAGCCTCACTTTGTACTATTCACAGTTGTGTTTTGTTTCCTCTCGGGTCAGTAAGAAGTTGCTCTCTCCTCTAGTCCTGAGTGAGAATAGCTTTAGCATGAGCAGGCTTCTCTAGAGTTTACAGGCTGGTCCTGCTGGGAGTGGAGTCTTCCAAAGCCAGTGCAAACTGCTGAAGTGGTCACAATGGGAGTGAGGGATCCTGGAACAGGGGGCTTCAGCAGCAGCCAGCGCTTGCAGTATTCCCTGAAGCTGGGTCGGTGTCTTCCTAGCATCTGTGATGTCTTCAAAGCAGCCAGGATGCCATGAGGACAGTCTGCCAGTTGCCAAAAGCGGGGCTGCTCTGTAGACAGCTCCCCACTCAAGACAGTTGGGCATAAGGAATGCCTCTGATAGCTATTGCTCTAAGGATCAAATCAGCCTGGCCCCCAACAGCTTAGCTTATTAGAAAAAGTAAGCATTAAGCTGTGCTTGCAATAAAGATCTGTTGTCTGTATTTAAGAGTGCTTGACCTGTGGCCAAATGCCCTTAGGGAAGTCTTGGGTTCTTCTCATCTGTCTCACTAATACTCATAATAATGCTGTTACCATTTAGTGCCCATTCTAGAAGTAGAGCCCTATAGTCGCATCTTTACTTCCATTCAATTCAGCTTTTCCAACCATCACTAGGAGTTTGCAAGTATTAAATGTGACACAGTGGATTCAGTCCTCAGCATGTCTGATTCCCATACTACCTATGCCTCTTCACATACTACAGATGGGGCACAGTTACCCCGTCTGCATATACAACTGCGGCCACATAAGTTTCTATCACCTACAGACATTCTAGCCACCTTAGTTTGTGTAAGTAATGAAATCGTTTAGTGTTGCATTTTTCAGAATGCATCCCCAAGCCACATGTAACTGCAACTGAGGTCAGTGTATTTCTAAGAAATGAGACTTTCCACCCACTTCTCAAATTCCTTCCAATCATATTCATTGAACAAATTTTTCTTGAATGTCCACTATATGTTAGAGGTCTACTACAAACCCTGAAAAAAATAAGGCTAGCATCCCCTTGGGCATTAGGAAGGACATAAGTAAGGAAGATGCGTGGAAGGCTGGGGAGAAGGATGAGAACGTGCCCAGCTGACTTTGACTTGTGCCCATATATATTACTGATAGTCAGTGATGAAAATAATTCAGTCAAATGTGAAGAGAGTAAAGACAGGTAAGTATGCTTGGCAAAGCCAGGAAGGAAAGCGTTTCCTTGTCCTTCTGGTCTGTGTTCTGTGGCATGCCATCAATGGCATGCTGATTAGGAACACGGTAGTCTCTCTTCTGTTCCCACCCTATTGCCGCTCTCTGTTGGATGCTGATTAATCTTCTTAGAAACTTCTATCTCCTTTTGGCCTTGTCAGCTCTCTGCTCCTTTCTTGGATCCTCCCTTTGAGGCAGACTCATTGCCCTCTTTTTCATCTTGCTTGCCATGTTACTCTATAAGCCAATGATCTTTTCTTTTTGTTTTCTTCTTGTACAAACTCCCAGACACCTCCAACTGAAGCCTGCTGTGTCTACATCATCTTTTTTTATTATTTTTATTTCATGCATGTATTGCCTGCATGTAGGTAAGTGCACCCATGTCGTGCAGTGCCTGTGGAGGACAGAAGAGGCTGTCGGATCCCCTGGAACTGGAGTTACAGACAGTTGTTAGCTGCCATGTGGGTGCTGGGATTCGAACCTGGGTCTTCTGCAAGAACAACCAGTGTTCTTAACTGCTGAGCCATCTCTCCAGCCCCTGTCTACATCATCTTAAATGTGTTGTTGAGAATGATTTCAGTTACCGAACAGGCTAGGGTTGCTTATTTACTCTCCTTAACCTTCTGACCTCTGTATTGTTTATTTCTAGTCATGTGTATCTCCGTCATCTGGATGTTTCAAAGACACCTGTCATTCATCATATCTCAAATGGGAGCTTAGCATACTCTCTAATCATCTCTCTGTCCAACTACCCAGTTTCTACCTCTACCTGAACCTTGCATGTTGTATTTAGATTTCATGATTTGTTGGGAAAACAAAACATTTAAGGGATCGAGAATCATATTACTGTGATCACACAGAGTCTCTCTAATAAACATGTTTGGAAAGATATGGGGTTCTTCTAGTGCCATAGCAGAATATAAATCCTTATGACTTTTGGAGGGGGAAGGTGCCCTAGTGTGGTGACTGCTCGGGCATGGAAGGTCCGTTTCACCAGCCAACAGCAGAAGGAAAGTAACAGCACTGTTCTAGGAATGCTACCTGCCAGAATCTTCTGCTCTATAAGACGAGCAATAAAGACTTTGTTGGAGACCTACTCAGCTCTAAGGAATGCCTCTTTCTATTCCACAGTGACCTCAGCTGCAGTTACATGTGGCTTGGGGATGCACGTGATTTCATTACTTACACAAACTAAGGGAGCTAGAACATCTGTAGGTGAGAGAAACTTAGGTGGCCATAGCTGCATATGCAGCCTGATGTTGGTTAAGTGCCCTTACAAGGTACATGGGTGGATTTATAAACTGCATTTTCACAGTTTGTTGGAAAAAAATCTAAGAACTACATTTAACAGACTTTGTATCATGCTTTGTGATTTATAATGCACTTCCATACACATATTATTTCATAGAAAAGGGTGAGTGTCAGAAGAGTATAGTGTATTGGTTCTCAAGCCCCAGAGAGCACTGGAACTATTCATGCTACACTCTTAAAGAGGCTGAGTGTGATGAGAAAGTTGGTCAGAAGTTCACCTGCTGAAAAACACTGGTGATATTTCTCAGAACCACCAGAGGATACATTGGAAGTGCAGTTTCCTGTATCCCTGTATCCTAGAGTGTCTGCCTCATTACCTCAGGGGTGGGAATCTGTCCTCGGATTCTGAGGAATCTAAATGCTGCCATATGCTCCTATTCTAGTATATTCACAGATTGGTGCCAGGAACCTGCTACCTAGAAGTAGCCTTTCCATGAGGGCAGAGGCCATGCCAGTCTGTTCATCATCCTGAACATGGAGCTTGGTGCATCACAGCTGCTTCACGTTGGTTTGTCAACTCTGATCCACTACCAGCATCTTTGCACTGCCTGTCTGGGTGGGCTCTCTGTTGGCCTTCATGCTGTTCATGTTTCTCGTGGATAGCACAGAGGAATGATATTTGCTTGCCAATGAATGAAGGATAAAGTGGTCCTCTTTAATTTCTTGGTTGAGGAGACTAGACTATCTAGATTCTTCACTCAGTGTGTATCCTTTTCATGCCAGAGAAAATGTGAAATGAATATTTCTTGCTCTGATAAAAATAAAAAGGCTGTAGTCATAAGGAAAGGCAGAGTTCAGCCTCATC